TTTTTCTTAATAAGCCATGTTTGTAGCCCACAAAATTCTGATCAAATCCAAAAACGATGTGACAGTTGGATATGTTCTGTCGTAACTAAAGTTCATCTAACGAGAGAAAAGTTTGGTCCAAGCAATGACCTAGAACGCCCAAAGCGGTCATTTTGATCGTTACTGTTTTTTTTACAAATTTTATACTTAGAAATGGTTCTGAATTAAAAAATGAATTAAAAATTCTGCAAAAAATAATTTTTGTGGGACAAATTAAAAGGTTATGACATAATTTATTTTTAAATAAATTGTATGCAGTTTGTTTTATTAAAGATAAGGATCACAAAACGCTCAAAATGACCGCTACGGGCGTTCTAATGTTAAACTACACATCTCGAGAAGCATCTGTGTCGTGTTACTTTCGTGAAACACAGTATAGAAGTTTGTGCTTTGCGAAAACTTTTGATCTAAAAATACATCTTTCTCAAGCCAAGACCACGCGTTTCGCAGTTCACAAAAACTATCACAACATACGCTACAGTCCACTCTGATCCAATGGCACACTTCTAAAATAATGTATTATTTTGTAGCCGGTGAAGTTCTCTATCGAATGGTATACAGTAGTTAAGATTTGCTTTGAGCAAAAGAGAAGGAATGAGGAGAACATTCTAACGGGAAACATATCCAACTGTCACATCGTTTTCGACTTCAAAGACAGTTCTTTGTAGGTTATCGACCATGCGGATTTCGAATATAAATATGAGAGCGGCTAATGTTGGATTTTTCAAGGGTTTTCTAGAAAGCCAGTTTGCCAGAAACTTCAAGCAATCTCCGAAACTTTTTCTTAATAAGCCATGTTTGTAGCCCACAAAATTCTGATCAAATCCAAAAACTATCACAACATACGCTACAGTCCACTCTGATCCCCGGAATTCGTCGATTTATCACTCTTCTGAGTATGTGAGTTCAAATCGATTCCAGACAAATTCACAGAAATTTTGACCTTTTCGTATTCAAGAAATTCATAAAAAGTCACATTTGCAATTTTTCAATTGTTGCACTCTTTCAGTTGAAAAAACTAAAAAGGTGTCTGTCAATTTCTGTTTTGTTGAATCTTTCTCAAATTGGAAAAGGATGAATTCAATTTCTAAATTCTTGAATTCTTTTAATTAAGAAAAATCCCTGATGGTTATGTCTGACATACTACGCACAATATCAATTCGCTGTGAACTCAGATATAGTAGTCGAATTTTCAGTTCGCAGCGAATTATATTATGTATATGTGCCGGACACATGTACAAAGGTATTCGTGGGCGGCGAGAGGGGGGTGGAGAGGTGAGGTTGAGAGCGGGCTCGAAAAGTAATTGCACGATATCCTAAATTCGTAAGATACCTAAGATACCCTAAATACCCTAGGATATCTTAGGTATCTAGCCTTTCTATGTACATATCCTAGATACCTAAGATACCCAGCGAAACAAAAAAGTTCCAGAAAAATGAGTTCGCAGCTGACTGAAATTATGCACGATCTCATTTCTGAATTGTTGAATCTTTCTCGAATTGGAAAAAAGATGAATTCAATTTATGAATTTATGAATTATTTGAATTAAGGGTGCCCCCCCCCTCAGGAAAAAACTTTTTTATCTTACATTCGATTTCGATGGCGCTTTCAGTGACTAATGCTTACTGTCCAGCGAGCTTATGCTAGAAATTTGAGATCGAAATGTTGAAGTGCTGCCGAGTTATTGCGTGACAAAGGGCAAAATGGGCTCTCAGCAAAAGCGTAAAGGTTTTTTTGTTGGAAGATGCAGAAAGCTACGAGTGGCCTCAAATGAAAGTAAACACCTATATCTAAAATTTGATTCGCCGCGGATCAAACTTTAGATAAATGTCTTAGCTTCAAAATAAAAAAATGAAGGTTTTACCATGAATCGTTGAAGAGTTAACACAACATTACACCGCTAAAACCATGTTCTAAACAATGGCATCAGTTCATTAATTGTAGTTCAGCGTCTTTAGCAAAACTAGGATAACTCTGCAAGACGAGGTCGTACAAACCTCTGAACATCTCATTCTGATCAGAACACTCTGCTCAACATAGCTCCATGTCTGTTAAAATGGACAACCTTAAAAATCTTAATTAAAATGTGAGATTTAGAAAAGGGTGATTTTTTAGGGCTTTTCAGAATTCTTTTTCAAAAACCTCCAGAAACATTGAATTTTTGGCAAACTAAGATAGATTCTGAAAGATGACACTTTGGGATACTGAACCGTATGGTTACTTCAGTTTCGAAGGTTTCGAAGAAAACAGCGAATTCCTGAGGGGGGGGCCCCCTTAAGAAAAATCTTGATTTTTATTTCTGAATACTGGATGCTAATTCTGAATTTATGAAATTCCAGAAACTGGAGAAAACTCGATGCTAATTCTTGAATTCTTTCTGCTAATCTTGAAAATTTTATCAATATAGAGTTCTATGAACTCGGCTGGCCGTTACTCGAATTAAGGTCATTCGGAGAATATGCCTCTAAGTATTGCTCCCATTTAATCAAATTTATAAAAGTTTTTAACCAATCGATAGTGATACATGATTTCAGCTTTCTTCAGATATGGAAATCTCGAAGAGGTATCGACATCTCCAACCTCTAGTGCATGAAATAAAGCTAGCACCGGTTAGATACACTTCCGTCCGATTTTTACGGTTAAATTTGCTTCTGAGCGCAATTACCCGTTGTTTGTGAGCTATTCTGTTCTCGTACTCCTGCTGGTTGTTAGTAGTGTTAGTAGGTTACTCTGGTGAATGTACTTGCTTAAGTATCCTCGCAAGTTTTGTCCAACGTAAGGTTACTTGGCTTTTTTTGCAAGTAAATGAAATACTTAAATTAATTGACCTGCTTGTCAAGTACTTGGCTAAGTGCTTGTCCAAGTAACTCACAAGTACCTGTAAGAAGTTTTACAAGTAAATCACGTACTTGGTAAGTGCTGTTGTTGAATAAGTTCTACAAGTACTTGAAGTATTTAGGAAGTGCATGATTCGTTTACATTTCTCAGCCGGACTGCTTATAACTTTTGATGCACAAGACGGATTTCTTTTAAAATTCGGCATATTATACCGTTAGTGCCATAGTACAAATGTATAATGAGAAATTTTAAAAAAGTTTTTTTCTTGTCGTTGGCAAGGTTCTTTAGAAATAGTGTACTCGTGGATGTGGGTTATCACTTTGTCGCTTCCCAAAAACTCAAAATATCAATTGCAAACAAAGCGCACTCATAGATAATCGATCACGACGCTAGGGATGGCACATTACTGGTTACTCGGTGTTAATCTACCAGATAAAGGGACGAAGTTAGTTACTCGTTGTCAGTAAAGAGGTTACTAAATGAATTACTTCGTTAATAGTAACGAATAACTAATTTCGTTACTACTGTCTGTTTAACGTAACTACGTTTTAAATAACTCGAGAATGAAAAGAGATAATAAGTTGCGGTTTTCAGCATTCGAAAGAGGAGGCTTGAAGGCATGGTTTCATAATCAAAGTTTTTTCAGAAGAGTTTTGTGAAACGGGTTGTCGAGGAGATCTTTGGAAACTAGGCCGCGTGTAAACGTTTTCCAGTAGAACTGTATTAATTTTTTTCTTGAGCTGATAGCACGGAGGGTCTTCTTCAAAGTAGGAGTCAAGCAAGACCGTGATTTTTCGCTGTTCGAGCATTGTATTCAATGTATTTCTAAGTCGAGTATTGTATTTCCTAAGAATCCTAGGACTGGCACTCGGTGGCTGTTGGAAGCCTTGAAGACGGTTAAACTATGGATAATCGTTCCTGCTGAGTAATCGTTCAAACTTAAGGATTTTATTAATGTTGTCCGCTAAACATGATTATAAGACAGAAGAAATGAAAACGTACGTTTTCATTAATAGGTTTTCCAGAAGCCCTTTTTGAAAACATTAGGGTTTTGAAAATTTTCTTTTGAGAACATATATGTTTTCGTGTACTGCTCACGTCTGGTCACAGGCGCATAACTTTTACACGCTCGGTCACATATCTTTTCACTTGTGACCATATGCGAAAAGTGTGATGAAAAACATTTTCGTGTACAGTTCACGACTGGTAACAAGCGGATAATTTTTTCAAGCGTGCCAATACACGATTTAACGATGTTCACCTGCGCTCAGATTTCGTTTCAGAACATTCACCGGCGTACACGCCACGGTATGTACTAAAGTTCCCCATGGAAAGAATATAAGTAACACCGAAAATAACTAAATTTTACAGTGTTAGTTTTCTTTTTAGACTCAGCTACTACTCGCTCTCTCGAAAGTACTCAACAGGTTTTGAGAGAGGGTATAGTGTAAGTCCAGGTGCATAGTCGGACACTCGAAAATATGATATTTCTCTTCCTTTTTCAAATCTGTTCAAGTATTACCAAAAATTCTTAGTGAATCATAAAGAAAAATATCATTGATCTTATTATTAAGAATATAACAGCTTCTTATCCAATCCTAAAAAAATCTTCAAAAGATTCGAATAAGTTTCTCACCAGGATAATATTAGTTTTTGAACCTATCTGAGACGATTAGAGTGAGATTGGAGTGCAAAATAAGTGAGTTAAGCAAAATGGATTTTTTAGAGATTTGGTCTGCAGATATTTTAATGGAGTTTTCTTATGTACCTTACCTGATTATGGGGCTCTTTCAGCTATTAAAATCACTTTTCGGATTTGTTTTCGCTATTACAGTCGAGGAAAAGAAGTTAAAAAGAAATCGATTCTATAATTTTACACCGGATCGTGGACTTCAAACATGCTATTTACTTCTTTTGAAAAGTTTGCAATACAATATGAGTCAATGTAAGAGCGATCATAATTGGGTGGAATAGCAATACCAAGTGTATTTGAAGCAAATGTTAGAAGACCTAAATTATATTGTCTTAATGCTGAACTTAAATAAAATTTGATGCCAATATTATCACAACGATCTCAAAATCAAATGTTTATTTAAAGTGATATTCTTTTAATTTCTCTCAATGCTTCACATATTAGATAATAATTTTTTATATAAAACAAACGAAGAAATGTTATAAACTTACCACATCACCATCACTGCCCATCCTGTAGCAATATTCTTGTTCATTTATATTGTTTCTCAATAGATGCATCGTCGTCTTATTAATTAACAGAGATAAGTCTATTCCGATAAATGACGTCGTTATTATTGCAAAATCAAAATATTTGCAATATATAGTTCGCGTTTTTCATAAAGATCATCACATAATCCGTCTAGTAAATTTTCATCATCAAATACAGCTGTTGTGCATTCATACATTAATAAATGATGAACAAGATCACGATTATCATCATCGATTAATATTTTATGCTAAAAATAAAATTGTTTTCTTACAATCTTTAAACGGAATTCAAATGTATCTAATCCATTTAATAGTGATTTATCTGGTAGACTGGCATAGGATAATAATGGCAGAATTCGGGTAGTTCTTCTTGTTTTTTCATGATGTGCAATTTTCATTATCTTTATCAAGATCAGTTAAGCCCATAACCATATATTAAAATATTTGTACTGGACTACAAAAAAGTATACTGTTAACGAATTCTAACTAAAAATACGAAGAAGTCATAAGCAGTGGAGCCACGAGATCCAACAGACTTGATCCTCACTAAGCTTTAGCTTTACAAGGCTCAATTTCACTACGATTTGATACAAAAAAGGCAAAATATTCGGCTAATTTTTTGATTTTTCTTGCAGCTTTAGTGAAAAGTGAATCTTTTGAAGTGAAGCCGAATTTCGCCATGACTCCAAAATAAGAGAGCAAATCTCCTACGCCTGATTAGGTTTCTGTATGAGTAAACTATAAAATATCTAAGAGACAACACTAGTACACTTTCTAAATGATCCGGATTTTCATCTGTTTTTGCATATCTAAAGGAGGAAAGAGTCCAGTCCGCAGTTTCGCTTCCGTTGAGCTCAGATTTTCAACGTAGATCCTAGAAGGGTTCAGAATAATAAGTTCAGAAGAATGCATTTTTTGGTCAAAAACTATATTTCTTCCAGTTCACGCTGAATTAATACTCAAAATCTCTTAAAATGAAAAATAAAAAATGTATACAGTTGAGGTAGTATATGATTGCGCTCCAAGTAAGACATTTGCTCCCAATCTGCATAAACATCGACGAGGTTGAACGCTTGAAATTAAACTACTATCAGTTTCAAAACACACGCAGGTGGTTGCAGGTGGTTTTGAATAACTATTCATAGAAATGAGATAGAGACCTGCGATTTTCTCTGTTCGATAGCCAAGACTTGAGTAGAGCTTTCCACAAGCGGAAATAATTTTTGAAAAATTTCAAAGACCGGATTACCAGAGGATCTTTGGAAAACTAACTCCATTCTCAGAAAACTAAGACACAATGTTAGTAATTTTTTTGCATACGTAGGTAGTCCAGACGTTATTCTACAAAATTACCAACTTCCAGCTCTCCGTCTATCATCATTTTTTGGACAGGCTCGCTTTCCCCAAGCACGTGCTCGTGCAATATTTCATTCGAAAGCCTGATAGAAACTGAACAAATTCACCCAATTTTTCGTTTTCTCAAGTTAACTTATCGTTGTGGAAAAAAAGTCTTTTCCAAAAATTCCTGTTTTTCTCCAACCCCTTTTTCCGTCTGATAGCAAGTTTATGCACATTGTCGCGACAAAGAACTTCCTTCTTTGTTGGTCTCAGCTATTCGCATTTGTCCGGCCTTCTCATGGATTAGCTCTCTTTTATAAAGAAACATTTATACTGTTAATAACAACTTTCAAAATGCTGGCAGAAAAAGTGCGGTAAAACTATTTTCATTAGAGTCTGTTTTTGGCCAATAGAAAAAACTGGACTGTAAAAGGAAAAACGCTACGGAAAAATAATGGTGACATCTGTGACTAAAGTGTGAAATTGTGAACGGCAGAGAAATATTTTCATTGGTTTAATTTTGTGTCATATTCATGATAGATTAATCATATTCTTAATGAAGCAATATCAGCTGTGCAAAAAGTCGTTTTACACATAATAGTTTTACGTATAAATTACGTACTTATTTCTGGTGTGTATTATGTTGCTTGTCAAAAAGGCATTCGGCATGGCTAAACGTTACGGAATTTCATTTTTTAGAATTTTGAACCCTCTAGTTTTTGACATGGATGAGCCTCACAGTTAAAAATTTTATTACAAGTGTAGTTTGTGAAGTTCTAGCTGCGGTGAAAATTTGAAGCCTCTGGCTCGCTTTTATAGAGAGAAAACTTGAAATTACTCACTGTTACGGAATTTCAAAAAATGGAAGTGGTTTTCGAATGTTTTCAGTATAACAAAAAATGCTCCGAATGTAAATGTGCTATGAACAAATTCCTCACGACGAAGTTGTAGGTAAATATGAGAGCTATTTGAATATCTATTTGCTTTTTGTTTTGTTCTCATTGCCAAATGATGAAAAGAGGAAAGAGTAGTCGTTACGGAATTTCATCTTTTTTTCGTTCTGTTTATTGTAGAAGCTTTTTCTTCTATATTTCTGTAGATGCGTGCATAAAATAAACTGCTGGGTGGTTTGTTTCGATTACTGATCATATCCATTTATTACGTTAACATAAAAAAAGCACAATTTAATCACCAGTGAAATTATCCTGTACTTTTCGAGGAATAAAGCGTAATGATTCCACATGGGATACACACGCTTCAAAATAGAATATTCGACTCTCAGTACTATTTGAATAATGACGTATTGCTATTTTATCTGTATCTAGTACAGTTAGTGAGTGAACTTTTTGAATAGCAGGTACTGATTTAAAATGTCACAGCTTGTAACAATACTGTTTCTTATTTTTCATTAACGAGGGAAGTTCCCCAACTGTTCGGTTTGTGAATGAAACCTAGTGAATACTAGGTTATCAACCATGCTGATTCCGAATATGACCATGCGGATTGCCCTTAGCCTTTCGAAGATCCGATTTTCTGGAAAACCAATTATTCAGAAACTCTAAAAAATAACCCAAACCTTTCTTAATGAAGCACAATTGTAGCCCGTAAATTTCTGATTAAAATGAGACATCTCCCGGCTCTACATGACCTTTCTTTGCATAGTTATAGAATTTATAAGAAAAGACCTAAATGTTCATTGTCAGGTCAAAGCTACAGAAATAAGAAGAAATTAATTTAGGGCTCTTCGTGTAAATTCTATAACTTTGCAAAGAAAGATCATATAGAGCTGGGAGATGTCTCATTTTAATCAGAAATTTACGGGCTACAATTGTGCTTCATTAAGAAAGATTTTGGTTATTTTTTAGAGTTTCTGAAAAACTGGTTTTCCAGAATACCGCATCTTCGAAAGGCTAAGGGCAACCCTCATGGCCATATTGGGAATCAGTATGGTTGATAACCTATTATTCTCCAGTTTCCGTTTTCTATTTTTATTCTAGTTTTCATTCGGAAAGCGAACAGTTGGGGAACTTCCCTCGTAAGTGAGATTCCGTAACGCTACCTTTTGCAACTATATCGTATCACTTTTCAAATAAAAACTAGTTGAAAAGGTAGCCCTAGAAATACAGAATCTTATTATGCTAAATGACTAACAGAATTCTCCTAGCTTGTTTGAACAATTTTTAAAATACCGATTTTCGTTACGGAATTTCATTAAAAATGCGCAAGTTTTCCGATTAATTTTCAAAAGCACGTAAAAGCTAGAACAAGAATTGATACGATCAGTAAATAGAACAACTTTTTCTCTATCCAGCAATGTATTTCTCTTAAGCTGAAACGTCAAGAAGAACGAGAAAAATAATAAAAACATATGGTATCAAACGTACCACGTTATTGATGATTCATCTCGATGTTCATCGATATTTTCCATGTGTTCAGGTACTAATAAAAACAAACAGAAATTATTTTCCTACACTTTAAAGTGTGCGCTTCACATAAGATTAGTTTTACCACTTCATTTAACGCTTCATACTTCCGCACTCTGATGTACCGTTAGCTGGCCAAGCCGTATTGTCTGTTTTGTCTAACATCGATCGATCTATTCTGTTCAAGTTGAACGCTGTGTCGAACAGTTCAACACAGCATTCTGTTCGCTTGCGACAATTTACTGCAATAGGAAATGCATATTGGGCTGTATGATATCACAGTTGTTGTATGTTTATTACATTTATTATCAATACCACCAACAAGTTACACAATGGGTTTCAAAACTGTTAATTAAACTCGTCTTTCAGCAGGCTGTGGAACATTTTTCAGAAACAAATATTACTAACAGATTTCATCTGGTAGATCACATATGCTCCACGTAGCTTCACTGTTACCGTACGTCACCAGTCCTGGAATTCACAGCAAAACCTTATGTTGTGCCTGAACTAGTGAAAAAAATGATCTTGCTTGACTTCCATTTTTAAGAATCTTGTTTACCTTCTCTCCCCGGAAGTTGTTTGACACAAACCAAATCTCCGACTTGATAATATGGATCTAATTATTGAGTATCATAACGTTTTTTCATTAACTGTTGATGTCGTCTGATATTTTCTTGTATTAAACCGTACATCACTTTGCTACATAATCTTGCTTGTACAAGAAACTGTGACAGTTTTTGTAACTGTAATTGTACCTGTGACGGATCGAAAGGCAAGGTTGGCTCACGAAGGTAACGCAGCATAAAACACGAAGTGCTTCTGAATAAACATCGAGCTTCCGACGATAAAACATGAAGTTCATGTGAAGAAATATCAACGTTCTCAGTAAAAACGATGAAGTTCTTGTGAAGAAACATGAAGTTTCTCAGAAATAACGAATAACTTTCTGTGAAGACACACCGCGTTTCTAAAGATAACATGAACTTCTTATGGAGAAAACATCAAGTTAACATCAAGTAAAAACGATGAAGCTGTAATGAAGGAGCATCAAGTTTCTCAAAAAAAAATGAATAAGTTCTTGTGGTATAACATCGAGTTTTCCACGATAAAGCATGAAGTGCCTGTGCATAAACAAAAAAAACGTAAAGGAAAAAAGAAGTACTCAAGAGAAAAACATGAAGTTCTCGTGAAGAAACATGAGGTTTCTCTATGTACCTTTTCGCTATAGATTAAGTATCTATTATTTTCAATTTTTTAAAAAAATGAGACAAGTGACAAGTCTCACGAACTATGTATCTCGGTGAGCTGAAGCGTCTTGCATGATCAGAATGTAAGGACATCGATAGTCACTGAAGATTTCAAATTAATAATTAGCATGGTCGTAGAGTTTGATAGTACAACGTACTTATACAGACTACAAAATATCTTACTTTGGAGAATGGTCACTAATGGAACAGCAAATGAACAAAATAGTCTTCTTACATGCGCACTCTGCCTCGATTATTACGACTATCCATCCTCATCTTCTATCATGTTCGCGCATATTTTATTTTAAGAGAAATTTTGTAAGCGCATCGAGAAAGGTCATAACATGATAAAAATTAATATACATTTTTTATCATGTCATTCGATTCTATAATCAAAAAGGGGGTTATGAAAAAGTTTTTAGTCGGTTCTGACTTATTTTGGCTGAGTTATAGAATTTTCAAAATGAGGTGTATCGAAGATTTGTTAAAAAAGTTTTAACACTTCATTTTTGTAGAGCCAACCTTTCTCTACAGAATAAGATATTCCGCAGTTCTGAGAGATTTACTATAACCAAGTTGGAACGGTTTTCCTGAATGCCCCAACAGCGATTATTAATCGGTGCATCCCTAGCCCAGGTTAAGTTTTTGGAAAATTTCGGAAGACACTTCGCTCTCTTGATGGTTATGCTGTTCGTCACGTACTTTAGACGTTCTGTATTCGAACCTGAGCGCTAACAGAGTCATGTGATAACCTTGGGCAAGGTACTTATGTCTTAGTACCTCGGAGCACTCGACCGACAGCATACTCACTACATCGTGACCTACAGTTTTTCCGAAAAGAGAAAAATAATCAGCTAACTTCTTCATCAGTTCAAGCATCACTTTTTGTAATCCATCGACTGAACAACGGGTAGAAAAATTATCTTAAAGCGCTTGAACGGTAAATTCATTTTTGATCCATTTGTAATCACTTGCACATACATGTATACAATTTTATCCAAGTTTAGATCCTCGATTGAAAAAATCTAATATTATCTTAAAATCGTGATCCTGTGCAGACTTTTCCAGGAAAAACCAAACTCTTGTTTTTTGCGAACCTAATAGCTTTTGGCTAAATAACTGCATCTATGTATTTAGAAGTTTTTTGAAGGTTCGTTCTGACCTTTGTGATTAAAAATTAGACCATCATATGCAGACTTCTGAGTTCTATCCACCTGTCTAATTTGCACTGCAGTCGTACTTACCATTAATTAGTTAATTCCAATTTAGAGAAATCAAAACACATAGTCATTTTTTATAGATATGTGCTTTGGGGTAATTCCGGTCACTCTACCATTTTTCATTTACCACGTGGAAATGTGTAAACATTTTTGATCGTTCCTTCCTGGCATTGACTAATTAGTGCTAATAAAAGTGTATTTAGTCCACTTCACTCATTTAGAGTTCTGTTTGTAAAATAAAAGCTTAACCAAGATATTACAACAATACCTGATCTGATCCTGACACTCAAGTATTTACATTGTAACAACTTTACGAAAAATACTAAACGCATAAGACGTAAATACACATTCATATCAAAATTTGATCTTTTTTTTCTAGAGAAGACTCGCCGGATTTTTACATATTCGGAATCAACGCGATGCGTTACGTTGTACGGCGCAGAGAACTCGTCGGGGGTACCCATGTTTTTTGGATCCGGCTTCTCCACCGTGGGTTTTTCCCGTTCTCGTTTATGCAAAATGGCCAAGAATGAGAGCACTAAACTGCAAAAATTCGTCAGTTTCGGGAACAGGTTTCAAAAATTACCCACGGAATTGGAAAAAGTAGTCAGAGAAGCAGAAGGGGAGTTTAACCCATTGAAAGCAGATGGAACTATCATTCTATTACTACAAATAGAAAAACTTGTTGCGCGTGGACTTCGATATTAATTAGAAAAGATCTTTACTATATTAGTGTAAAAACTGATAAATTGTTGAAAGTTTAATAGCTGCAATCTTCTATCGAAACTCTTAATTTCTGATGTAACTCCAATAATTTTCTGTGTAACGTATTGCTACCTTGAGCTGTGATTATTTCACAAATATATTACTATGCGCAGTACTGTAGTATTTTTGTCGGATCTTCAAGGACATCATCTAACATCAATATTTTTAATTTTTGTTGTTCACATTTTATATATTCGACTACTAAATCAGCTTGTTTTGATGCTTTACATTTTGGTTTATGAAACGGCCATTGGGCTATTTGACACTCTTCTGAACAATACACTGTTGATCTACACCTACCACCGATTAAATTTTTGGCCAGTAGTTTTACACGATTCACAAGTTTCCATTGATTTTTTGTTTAATGTTTTCAAACATTAAAAAGAGAAACAGAACTTGAGTGTAAACTACAATAAATATACTTTTGGTAGTCTAAAAAGAACTGTAAATACGTTTATTTTTTCAACATTTTGGTACTTCTCACCATTTCTCATGGCATTTTACATCTTCGGATTTTGCAATAAGACACTTAACGCATTTTTTGTAGAGAATTCAGCAGGACATTGTTTGGTAAAAAAGCTAGCTTAATCAAGTGTAAGGAGGAGGAGAAATTTGAAAATACAAACAGTTTAATTTATTCTGCGCCACCCGATATATTCCAGCAAAACTCTTGAAACTCTCATATCTCTTAATGCTATAGCAATTTGCTAGTTAATTACTTTATGTGTAATGAAGGTTTTTTTGACGACGATTTTATGACCTTTAACATAGCAACCAATGTCATCCTGTTTTGTCGAGAGCAACTCATGTGAACAATTATCTCAGCAACTCAATGTTGTATATGAGATATTGCTTTTAGAATTCTATATTCTATAGAGGTTCTAACTAGCTACAGTAGCATATCTACATCTGGAGGGAGTTTCACACTTTAGCTCCAGCAATGAGTTGCCCTGTAAAGGTGGTGAGATATTCTATTTTTTGCGATTTTTGATAAAAAATAAAAAAATTTAAATAAATTTAAAAATCGGTTGATACCAGCAAAATCAAATTCAAAACTACCTTTAATCAGTCGAAGAGATATTGATATTCACTACTGTCGCCTTAAAGTCAGATTTTCTCAATTGAATAGTGACTTGTTCGATAAAGGTCTCGCGCATGATTCATATTGTGAATGTAATAGTCTAATAAAAGAGACTTTTTACCATTTTTTTACAACTAGGAGTGGAGAAAAAAGAGAGAAAAAATCTAATGACATAGCTCCCTAACAGAATT